AAAAGTTCACATTTTTTTAAGATAAATAAGTCATTTTGTTCAAGAAGGGAAGCATCTCTCTATTCCAATGTGTTTTTTTTTTTTGCCTAATACTCATTAGTAAAGTACATATTTGCACATTGACATGTGTGTATAAAATGTCTGTTTATTAAAGCAATACAAAGATTATACACACCAGTTAGAATGGCCCAAATTCAGAACACTCATTGACTGCTGGTGGGAATGCAGTGAATCCCCATTTGGATTTTAACAGCTTCTTAATAAAATTAAACATATTTTAGTATATGATCCTGCAATCACACTCTTTGGTATTTACCTGAAAGAGTGGAAATCTTATATCACCCCCAAACCTGCACAAAGATGTTTTCAGCAGCTTTATTCATAATTGCCAAAACTTGGAAGCAATCAAAAGGTCCTTCAGTAGGTGGAGGATAAGCTGTAGTACATTCAGAAAATGGAACCTATTTAGTGTTAAAAAGAAATGCATTCTCAAGTCATTAAAAATCATGAAGGAATCTTACATGCATATCACTAAGTGAAAGAAGCCAATATAAAAAGTTTCCAAGCTGTGTGTTTCCAACTGTAAAGCATTCTGAAAAAGTCAAAAGTCTGGCTACAACATTCTTCTCTCGGCTGTGGCCTCCCACCAGGCTCCCCAGAGGCGCTTCAGTATCCTCAAAATTCTACTTGCTGGACCCATTGAATACCAAACCCGATGGGCTGAAAGTTGGGTTTGGTATTCAGTGGTACCACCTGCTTCCTCTGGTTCTAGCTCATCAAACAACATCATGAAGATGTTTTAGAGTAGAAAAGAAGAAATTATTCAGAATAAACTTTGAATATCAGTATAGTTTATACTTTGTAGCACCAGATTCTTGTCTATTGCTCATTTATGAATTACCAAATGGAAACCACCTGCATTGCTGGACTCCTAGGTAAAGGGGAGAGAGCCTTCTCAGAAGGCAGTGAAGGCTACAGCATGGGAGGCTAGGAGCACCTCTCCCCAAGTCCATGGATCAGCAGAACTTATAAAATTACATCTCACTTTCTTTTTCAGGCAGGTCAATCATAAAGCAAATCAACACCTACCTTAATGAGTGTATAATTCTCTGAAATACTCAATACAGGAGAATATGGAGAATATGCCTTGACATTTTACAATTCAAATTTCCATGTTATAGGTTTTCCATAAGTTGATTAAGTGTGGTAGAGCATTTATCACCACTCCTCCATCATATGTTCATGAATTTCTGTTGATTGAATGTTTTTTTTAAAAAAATTAAGTTTTCTTGGTCAGTTTAAATTCAATGTTAATATTTCCAAGGTATTGCTTCATAAATAAATGTGACAATTGAAAATGATCTCATGCACTAGCTTTCAGAGACATATGTGAGTTGGTTGATAAAAATATCATTTAAACTTGTTTTTTTCTTTCTTTTTTAAGTTGATCTCGCTCTCTCTCTCTCTTTTTTTTTTTTAGTTGTTGATAGACCTTTATTTATTTTATGTGGTGCTGAGAATCGAACCCAGTGCCTCACACATGCCAGGCAAATGTGCTACTTCTGAGCCCCAGCCCCAGCCCTAAAGTTGTTTTCTTTCTAATTGACAAGAACTAGATGAAATCAGTAGAAGTTTCACTCAATTTTGCTTGTACTTAAGCTCTTTTTCATCTTGTGAGGCTTGTTCAAGGATGTATATCATTGAAACAAGGCCTAAGCTCTCAGAATTCTTATTCATTCTGTGGTATCTGTTCTCCCAGCATTGTTGTAAAAATGTTTTGTTTTTTTTGTTTGTTTGTTTGTTTTTTTGCTAATTTTTTCTTTTCTCTCAATCTCCTCATTGCATTTATAAAATTCCTCCCCAAATACTCAGAATACATAATAAATAAATTATAATACATTAAGAGAAGAGGAACAAAATCCCCTCTAACTCTGAATAATGTGTGTGTAAAGTTAACTATTTTCTTCTAGAGACAACCAATTTAGTGAAGTGACACTAGGAGTAGAAACCTCAGGCCAATGATTCAAGACAGGTAGTGCTAAGACCCTGGTTTGATTTTAGAGCACATATTTGGGGGTAGGCAGATCTTCGTAAATGTTTCAATTAATTCATGGAGATTTTATATAGTACTCCCTAATTGTGTCCACAGATTGGAAACTCAGGCTATCTTCACACCTAATATATATTTTATTTTATTCTCTAATGAGGGTTAATATGCCCAGTTGTTATGTTCTCAGCTCAGTTGTTCCAGGGCAGTGTAGTAGGCTGTGGAGAAGCCAAAGAATGTGCCTGGATATGTGATGTGAGGCATATGACTCATTAGGGGAGAAGCTTATGAGAAATCAGTGACTGCTCCAAGAATAGTTTAGTGGAGATAGTTTAGATCTTCTATTGAAATCAGAATGATTTGATGTCACTGAGTTACAATATGATTTTAAGAGCCCATAGAACATGTCCAAAGACATCTGCTATGTCATCTGTTTCTATCAAGTAGAGAAATCTGCTTGATTGACTTATAGTGCAGCAAGTTTAAAAATCAAAACTGAGGAAAATGGCTAAATTGGATGCTTGGCTGCTGAGTGAGGTCTCTATAAGTCCTCAAGAAAGGATCATGTTTGCTCATAGGATTAATACCTTATTTATCTCTCATGGTAACACTTGGCTAAGTTCTTGCTTCCCAACTCCATTTATAAAGTTTTGAGCTATGCATTTAGTTCTCTCCATGTTTTTAATAACTTGGCATATTCAAAAGCAATTGAGCCTGAACTTGTCACTGAAACTGGGGAATAAAGTGCTGGGTTCAATCATTCCTAAAAGACACAGTAAATTTTCGTAAAGCCCCAGAGCCCTGAACACAACTGCATTTCACGTTCTTCTGTATGTGCTGTTCTCAGCATGAAACAGTTCCAAAAGACATTAGAACTGTGATATTCAGGAAAACTTTGGATAAAGTAATTACCATTTTCTTTATTATATATAAATTCAGTATGGCTTCCTTTTGTTTTTCTTGAGTATAAATGGTACTGTAGTTTCTATTTTTTCCCCTAGAAACATTTGGAATGTGTTTCTGTTCAAGGTGATCTGCATCTGCTTACATGACCAAATCTTTCTTTTATTAATTTTTTTCTTGGTTAACAGTTGAAGGTTGTTATTTGGGAGTGAGAAGACATATAAGGTCAGATTATTTTCAAATATTCTGTTCAAGAATGTCAGGTATTCTTTAACATGATTCCACTGAATGTATCTTCTATTTTTCATATACAAGGTTACAGTGATACAGTAAAACATACACGCCCACTCACACATTCACAGATATACACATTGCTCACAGGAACAATAGAACAGAAACCCACATGATTACATGCCATGTTTTACCATGCCTTGATAATTTTTCACCAACATATAAAAATTTTTATAATTTAAGATTTATACAGTTAATAGAATTACATGATCACATGGGATGGAAGTATTATTGCACCTCCCAGTGAGGTAATTGGGAAAGGATATAAAGGATGAAGGCATATTCCTTGCTCTTGAAGATAATGCTACACTGATGTATGAGAAAGATATAAAACACACTAATAACAGTGAGGACAGGAGTCACAGTAGAGACTGTGACCAGCACTATCAGAGCAATCTATACAAACCCAGTGGGCTGTGCTTAGACAAAATTTAAAGGAACATAAAAATCTCTTTCTCCAGCAAGAAGGAGATGAATTTTAGACAGAACCACTGCCACATGCAAAATTCAATGAACATGAAAAATGGACATTTAGGTTACAGCAGGACATTCTTTAGGAACACTAATGAGTAAGTCTCAGAGAATAAAAGGCAAGTGTAATAAACACAGACTGTTTAAGAAAAGATAATAGTATCAACTTTTCTTAAAATAGGAAAACCTTCAGTTGAGTTTTAGAATAAAAAAAAAAATAAGGTTGAGGACCAGACCACAGTAATAAGAACAAAGAGTGTTCCAACCTAGAAGCAGAGTAAAAAAAATGTATGGCAGAGGTAATGTTATCATGAGGCTAAAGATGCATAATTTCCCCAATCCTTCATTTGCTGGACTTGTGAAAAAATTCAATATGTTAAAATTTTATTATTCTGAATGAATATTCAGTTTTATACTTAATTTTGCATTTATAATTTTGTAATTTTTTTTCTTAGAGAACACCTTCAAATTGCATAAGTTTTGGGCTTACAAATTCTGGAGTCATCATCCTATAAGCTAAGTTCATGTTAGTATAAGAAAGGAATAACTAGAAGTGGGTGTGTCAAAGTAATTGATCATTTTTGAGAGTTATGTATATATGAATATATATGTATACATATATAAAAATGTATATAAACCTCTCTTTCTCTCTCTCTCTCTCTACTTAATGGTAGAGTTAATTTCAGGTCTAGTTTTAGGGTATACATATGTAAGTGAATATATATGAATATATTCATGAATATATATTAAATATGTACATAGATACACACATGAATATATGTGTGCATTTATACATGAATATGATTTCTTTTAGGGGTAGCTTTAGAGCAATGGTTAGGCTTAGATAAGAAAACACAAGGAGATTCTGGAAGATGGCAGAGTGTTTGAAATTGAGATTCCCCAGGGATTATAGTTATCATTAAAGACAAATTAGCATGTAATATGGAATCGAGGATGGGAGGAGGTTGGAGGCAGAGGAAGAAGGTAAATCTTGTAAAAGTTCAAGCCATGAGCTCTATCCTTGAAGAAGAGGCTGTCTGTAAGTCAGTAGGATTTTTTTCCCCCCAAGGGCTCATGACCTAATAGGAAGATTGCAGAGGAAACAGGTAGTAAGGCCAAGGTCAGAGGTGAAAATCCGGTCCTGGAACTAGGTCATAACCACCCTGGGCGTTACCAGGCAACGGAGGGCTGAAGCCTGCAGCTCCAAGTCTGCACACACCTGCATTTCTGATGGGGCTGGAGTATCTGGGAGCCAGTGGAGCCACAGGAGGAGGACAGTTAAAGAGCCCTAGGAACATCCTGATCTGACTAAGGACCTCAACAGCCATGAAGAAGCTTTTCAACTTCTGGAAGAGGAAGGATGAGTTTTCTAGCCGCTCCTCATGCCTGCCCACAGGCCAGGACTACACTCCCCGAACTAGGTACTTAAAGAAACTCCACAAAGCCGCTTCGGATGGGGATTTGGACAAATTGAAGGAGTACCTTCAGCTCAAGAAACATGACGTGAACATGCGGGACAAAGAGCACAGGTGGGCAAAACCGAAGAGCCTCAGGGAAGGGCCATAGTGTTGGGACGCTGGGACCACTGGGCCCTCCATCCCGAAATGAGACGTGCCTGGGCCGTTTTACTCTTGTCACTCTGGGTTTCCCTGGGCAGAGAAGTGGTCATGTGCAGGGGCCATGATTCTTATTTAATTTTTTGTGAATGCTTACCTGCATGTTTGAAGGTCTTTCTGCCCTCCCTGATTTCCTCCACAACTCCCTTGGTATTAATTCCTCAGTGCACTCCCTCTGTCCTTGCCCCATTTTGTTGTTTGGCTCTCTGGTATAGGTTGTCCTTAGCCATATAGTCTTTTACTAATGGAAGACTAGGAACAGTGAAGAGGCAACTACCTAGGACAGTATTTTTTAAGATTTTAAGACTTAGAAACATCAACAATTGACATACATTAAAAAGAAACTTGTTATCAAACTTTTTGGACAGAGGATGATTTTTGCTGTGTTTTTTTTTTTTTGTTGTTGTTGTTGTTGTTTTGGTTTGTTTTTGTTTTAAAGCTTTATGTTATGTGGTGCTGAGGATTGAACTCAGTGCCTCGCATGTATGAGGCAAGTGCTCCACCGCTGAGCTCTAGCCTCAGCCCTGGTTTTTGCCTTTTCTATGTTGCACAATCCTTAGCATTAATTTGCTTAGCTTTGAATTAATTTACTCAACAAATTTATGGGGCAAATATATGTAACCACTATGTAAACAAAGCAGAGTGTTAAATTCGGAGATAAAAATGGTGAATAAGCATGACATATTTTCAGTAACCACATTCATTTCCATGGAATTTAGCACAGAGGCTGTAATAGCCCAAAGGGCCCTTGGCCCAATGCATTCAACTAAATACTGTCAGTGACACCATTGACCTTACTTTAGTTACAATGTTTCAAGAAATTTCCATTATCTCCAGACTCAAGGGCTGCTCTTTAGCTTGGTTTGATAAGTAGAAGGACTCCCAGGTAGGTGTATATACAAGCTTAGCCCTATAAGAAGTAATGTATAGCATCTGTCTTGTACTTCAGAGTGCAATGTTTCAAAACAGGAAGTTCAACTACTTGATCAATAAAAATGTAATCAGCCCCCATCTACAAATTTTATGATGGGCAGCAGAATTTATTTTAGTAAGAACATTTAATATTTGACCTACTCTCTTAATTGATCTTTAAGTGTACAATATATTATTTTCATTATCATGCAATGTTGTACAGCAGATCTCTAGAGTTTATCCTAGAGATAAAGTTTCATCCTGCTTTACTGAAATTTTTTGCCCTTTGATAACTCCACCTTTCTCTATATAAAATTATGTCAGTTGCAAAGAGGGCCTGTTTTTCTTCTTTTCTGATGGTGATGCCAGTCTTGAAAATCAGGATTGGGTCCCTGTTCCTTCCGTGTTGAAGATTAAACAAACAAGAAATGCCAAGGCAAGAGCAGAAAGTAATTTTATTTAAGTAACAGAACAGAGAGAGAAGAGGGGTAAAATTCCTTTGGAAAGAAGGAGTTCCAGAGCTGGTGCCTGAGGGAATGGGGGTGTCCTGCTGCTTTATAGATTTTAGGTTTCCTTTTTATTCATGCCTACATGACTAAAAGGCAGGAAGAGAGCCATCCAGGGGGATTGCTTATGTTGGAAAGTGTGACCCTTTCCCCAGAAAGGGAGAAGGAGGGCTGTTAGCAACAGATTGACAGGAAAGTGCTATCTACTCCATTTCCTTTGCCCTGATCTCAATTGGATGCTTTTTATTTCATTTCTTGTCACTTTCCCCTGACTAGGACTTCCAATATTACATGAAATAGCATATTTGCCTAATTCCTGATCTTGGGGAAAACTTTGAGGGTTGTTGTTTTGTTTAGAAGAAGAGTTTTGCCATGTATAGTATTCTTGATTGGCAGTGTCTCTCTTTTTTTTTTTCAACACTTTGAATACTGTTAAGTTGGGCTTTTATATATTAACCTAATACTAAATAGGAAAAAATACTTCCAAATTCATTTAAATACTTCCAAATTCATTTATATGCCCTTATTATATTTAGGTAATTTCTCTCTTTTCCTAGTATGTTGTTGTTATCATAAAAGGACTTTCTCAAAAGCTCTTTCTGCATCTAATGAGAAAAATCATGATTTTTATTTTTATCCTGATAATGTGGTTGATCACATTAATTCCCCCCCTTTTGCTTGTTGAACTATCCTTATATTTCAGGTGTAAATATCAGAATCCTTTTAATGCATTGCTGGATTTGGTTTGCTAGAATTTTGTTGAGGGTTTTAGCATCTATATTCATCAAGGATGTTGGCTCATAGTTTTCTTGTAGTTTCTTTGTCTAGCTTTAATATTAGGATAATGCTGGCCTTGGAAAATGAATTTGGAAATATTTCTTCCTCTTTAGTATTAGATAGATATTAATTCTTCTTTAAATATTTGGTATGATTCACCAATGAGGGCTATGGCTTTTGGTTTATCTTTGTTGGGAAGTTTTGGGATTACTGTTTCAGTATCCATACTAGTTATATAGTTCTGTACAGAATTTTAACTTCTTAATGATTTGGTGTTGGTAGGTTGAATGTTGTTAGGAATTTATTCATTTCTTCGTAGTTACCCCTTTGTGGGTATATAATTGCTCATAGTAGTCTCTCATGGTCATTTTTATATTTTTCATATCAGTTGTAGTTGTAATGACTCTTCTTTCATTTCTGATTTTTAAAAATTTTTTTTATTATCTCCTTTTTTCAGGTCTAAGATTTTGTCAGTTTTGTTAATGGAAGACCCTTAACTTCACTGATTTTTTATATTAGTTTCTTATTTTCTTCTTATTTATTTCCTATAAACTGTTATTTATTTCCTTCTAGTAACTTTAGGCTTATTTTGTTCTTTTTTTTTAGTTTTTTTTTTTAAGTGTAAAGTTAGGTTATTATTTGAGATCCTTTAGATTTAGATTTCTGGTTACATATGTTCTGTGAGTTAAGTAACAATATAAACTAAAGTCTTACACTGGATAAATATATATTGATAAAAGTTGAGGATTTTTAGCAAATGGAATAATATTGATTTAAAAGTATTTCTCAGATATCTATGAATGCCTTCTGCATTTAGCTGTTTTTAAAAACATGTAATTTTTTTTTACTATTTTTAGTTGTAGATGGACACAATACCTTCATTATTTTCTTTTTTAAATTTATTTATGTGGTGCTGTGGATCAAACCCAGTGCCTCTCATGCATGCTAGCCAAGCACTCTACCACTGAGCCACAACCCCAGCCCACATTTTTGTTTTTGATATTGGGTGGAAAACACTCAGCCTCAAAGCATATACATATACATTATATACATAAACAGTTGGAAAAGAGGCCACAAGAAGGTTACATGCTGCGTACTCCACTTGTGCACTCTGAAATTTAAGGATAGTTAAACCTAAAAATTTAAATGAAATGAATGCAAATGTGAAACCCATATGTTATTAAAACATTTTGTCTTTTAAACCAGGATGACTCCTTTGAAAACCTGCCAAATATTCTAAGTAAAAACTCTTTACAAGATTGTCTTGAAGATTTTAATGATATTACAAACACTATAGTCTTCCATATTTGCTCAAAACAGATTAATTCTTGTTTCCAGAGTTTGCGTAAAAGACCACAAAATATATTACTCAGTACTTCTTTAGAAAGCTGGATACGTCATGGCTATTTTATTTGATTGAATTTGTGGCTAATTCCCTAAGTTCGTTGGAGCACATCAAGGATTTAATTGTGAAAGTAGGTTTTAGACTTCAACTAGAAGAGTAAAATTATCCACGGGGGTGCAACATCAACTTTTAGAAGATGCATATGTTCCTGTCACTGATGTGATCAATTAGTTGCTGGGCTACCTCAGTCACTGGGGGTAGAGACGTGGAATCAGCACACCGACTCTGGGAGCTGGTGAGAGAACTGGCAAGAGACAAACCTCAAGTTATCATCCAGTAGCTCAGTTTATTTTTGGAATGCACACAACTGTTATAGTATTGGAGTGGGGCATGCCCGTCAATCATACATAAGCAAGACAATATCCATAAGCCAATCATCTTCTACTTAATGTAACTGCACTGTGAGGAAACTCTAAATAATGCTGTCATGGTGGAAAGCAATCTGGAAGGGTCTTTGTCCCTAAGGGAGGAGGCTTACTGAGTCAGGGATTTCATGCCCTGAAGCCCCCGACTCTCGGTTTCCTGGCCCACTAGTTTGGCAATGCTAACCACAGGTGTTGAGTATATGGTTTCACCCCATCCTGCAGGCCCTCCTGTCAGGCTTGAAGGAACGTGAATATTTCAAGCACTTCTGAGCTGCTCATAGCTGCTAGCTGCGACTGAAAGTTACTACAACAAGAAGACATATTGGAGATTAGCCAAATACTCTTTTCATTCTCCTTAGAGATAGCAGTATAGCATTATTTTGTTGTTGTTCTTCTTGTTGTTGTTTTGTGTTTAATAAATTAAAAATCAGAGTTTATACAGAAGTAGATCTAATGATAGATAGAAATCACCAAAGTTCCTTGGGACTAAATTCTTAATATATATGTAATTGCTATTACAAGAAGAAGTCTTAGATATGATGAAAGCTGTTTAGCCCTATATATTTGGAGGAAGACTCTAAAAGCTTACAATTACTTATGGAAGTTCATCCTACTTATGGAAGTTCATCCTTCATCCAAATCATAAATATTGACACCAACTAAAAACAAAACAAAAACAAACAAACAAGAAATCAACCAGTGCTTTCTTGTATCAGGATTGTTGAGAAACCAAATTAGTCACCAGAAATTTGCTTAGTAAGGATGAAATCACAGCGAAGAAAGGTAGGTAGTTTTGAGAGATATTTCATCTAGACGTAATGTCTGAAAAATCATTTTTTGATTTACAACAAAGCATTCCTTTCTTATAGCTAGGTAGTTTGTGTTCCTTAAACTTAAGATTGTCTTTTCCATGAAGGATGTTGATTATTTATGAATAAACTCTGGTTCCATTCTGCCATTCAAACTGATTCCTCTTCTTCCTGTAAAGTCTTTTTTATCTAAAGAATAATGGATTAGAGTTCTGCTTTTTATATTTTCGAAATGTTATAATCTTTCCTTTTGTTCAACTATACTGGACTGGAATATAGCATTCCAAAACTGTTGAAAGTTATTTTCATACTTTCTTAGTTTACTCGCATGTGTGGTAAGTTATGTCATTGTATACTGGTTTTGTTAGTTTAGGTTTTTAAAAATTATCTTATTTTTAAGTCTTTGAGAAGCACCTTTTTGCTACTCCTTTGTGTCAATAACAGGTCAGTTTAGACACCTATGAAGTACTTCTGAGAAATTAAAGTAAAGCAAAAAAAATGACATAAAAATGTCATTTTGGGACCATGGGCCATATATATACTCTTTATTATGAAATTTTATAAATACAAAGATAAAATAAGAAATAAATAATAAACCTTAATAAATAAATAAATAAAAGATTAGTAAGGGCCAGTCTGGGCTAAAACTTGCCGAATTCAAATGGGTATAATTTGTATTCTTCATAATTCACAGATATGTGCTTGGTTTCTGGTAGATTATTTATAGTAGGGTTCTTTGAGAAATAGAAATTAGTATAATTATTTAAAATTAGGTTTACATCTGAAGTTTAGAGAGTCCTTCAGCTTTTACTGTATTTTTTTTTAGATGCAGATGCCAACTTTAATATCTGAACAAAGAGAGAGAAACATACAATTATTAGGGGTAGCTTGCCATTGAATAAATAGTCAATGTCTCTTCTCTCTGTTATCTATTAGTTATATTTGAGGGTTTTGAGATCATTTCTAAATTTTATAGTGATATCCAATCTTATCATATTTCTAAGGTCCATATACTATTTTGGCATTTGAAAGAAACCTATTCTAAACTAAGTAGGGTTCAGTTTACCTTTCAGTGAACATATTAAATATTTGCTCTTCAAAGCATTTTCACATAATTTTAAATCCAGTAAAAAGCAATTATAATTAATGTAAATTTTGTATAAATATAAATAAGCACATGAAGCAAATATTCTAACATAAATTTAGCTTTTGGGGGGGGGTATAATGAGAAACTTTACCAATGAGACTTATATTTAAATTCATGTTTCATTATATTGACATAGAACACCTTTGCATCTGGCCTGTACTAGTGGATATACACATAACAGCTCTCTCTTAACTAAGAAAAAATGCGAAATAAATGTTCAAGATGATGAAAACAAATCTATACTGATTAAGGTATTTTCTAATTTTTTTCCTTTTCAGTTGTAATATATTTGAGTTCTTTCAGTTAACTATTATTGATTTTCATGCTTTAAAACATAGTATTAAACATTAATTTAATATATCATATCCTGAGTAGTAAATTGATTACTCATCTATTCTTGTTGTATTGATAGGCGGTTCAATTTCAAAAGGAGAATTGTGCTACTATTCTTCTAAGCCATGGTGCAGACCCAAATCTGGTGGATTTTCATTATAATACTGCTCTTCATTATGCTGTGTGTGGTCAAAATATCTCATTAGTCAGAAAACTACTTGAACACAAAGCGAATCTGGAAGCTAAAAATAAGGTAGTTTTCTATTAAAGAAAAAACTTGCATTTTAAAAAGCAACTAAAGAGAACATTCATTTTAGATAATTCATTTAATAGTGATGCATGTTTTATAGAGAATGAATTTTCCAAACTGAAACTGGGGAGAAGGAGAGATTATTAAAAACTGATAACATTTTTTCCTTTTTTAAAGTCTCCATTTAATTGCCGACTGAAACTCTGACCAACAAAGTAATATCATATTTAACCATAATTGTTCAAAGGTCCATATCAAATGAGAACTATCTGATTACCATATAAATGAGTGTTGATAAAATCTGAAACCCCATTTTTTCTATTTTATTCATATACTTGTGAATAACAGGTGTTACTACACTAAAAGTAATCTAACTCACCTTTGAACTATTTTGAATAACTGATGAATATTTTTTCAAAAAGCCTCTTAGCACTTGAGTTTGCTGATATTTTGTCTGATAGCCCCAAATTAATGCCAGTCTAGAAGTGAAGCTCTAAAGAAATCCAATTATTACATTATGAAATGTGAATTAAATGATAGGTACTCATCACTTAATTACTTCAGGCTGTTCTTACCCACAATTTAAATCAAGCCTAAAATAGAAATTCAGTTTTTAAATGGCTCAACTCTAAGTTGCTCTCTTGATCTTTGAAATCATATTTTGTTCTGTATCAAAATATTTTGAGATTTGAAGTGTATATTCAGAAGTTTCTTATAAGCATTCACTTTTTAATAGAATGAAATCTAAAAGGCACTTGATTCTTACACAATGTTCTAAATAATAACTTTGAAATAATTTTTATAGGATGGATATACCCCACTTCTACTTGCCATTGTTGAAAATAATGAAAATATGGTAAAATTTCTTCTGAAGAAAGGAGCAGATGTGAATGCTTCAGATAAGAATCAAAGGTATAATTACTAAAGCTAAATAATATTGCATATAACTGCAGCTACTTAAGAGAATTATACACATGCACACACACATATTTGGTATTGGGAAAAGATAGATGAGATTATACGACATGATTTTCTGCAAAATACTTAAGATTCTCAGAATCAGTTTTTTTTTTAATCAATAAAATTCAACAGTTGGACCAGATTGGTAGATTATTATTACTGATTAATAATATTGGAGATTTATATAGAAGATCAAATGTTGTGTTTTAAAGGGGATAGTAGACCCAGGGTCACAGACATACTCTTTTCTGTGGAATTTTGAGACATCTTGAAAACACTAGCCTTCCAGGGAGCTGACACTTGAAGTCCATGCAGCTGGCTGTTTCTTAGGGATTCTTATCTTTTAGACTCCTTAATCTGTGATAGACAAACCTTTTTGACGGATCTGCCCTACTTTTTACATTGTTGCCTTGGATTTTCCTAATGGAAATCCTGCATTAGGATGATAAACTCAGAAGACTAAATTTGTTTATCTCTTACTCTAGAACAGCCCTTATGATTGCTCTCAGTGAGGAACCAACAAGTTTAGTAAGTCTTCTTCTTCAGCAAGATGTTGACCTCTCTTGCCAAGATATTTATGGATTCACAGCTGAGGAATATGCTTCCTTTAATGGTTTTACTACGTAAGTGGTATTTATGTATTTTCATGTGATGTTTGATCTTAAGGAACAAAGAATGAACCCCAAAGATCAAAGTAGGAATAGGCTCAGCAGCAAGGGTAACCACATACAAACTCTGACCTATGAATCCAGAGATCCTTGATTTCCTACATTTGAAGGTTCCAGTTCATATAAGAAAGACAGGTGAGTTGAGTCAAAATTGAACTCCCAGTGGCATGGGAATTGGCTAAGGACAAAGATTCTCACACCAGTAACATAAGCCATTAATAAAACATATGGGTAATTGAGTTAGACAAAAGATGATTAGTTCACACAATGTATTTTCATTGTTTTTATACCTTACAAATGTAAAGATTTTAAATATGTTTTGAATATTATTAATATTTTATTAACTAACTTCAGTTTGATAAATTTCCAGAATTCTTAAGTATGTTCTCATTACATACTTACCAAAACATTTTCCTGTATGAACAGGCATTTCTAATTTTTAAATCAATGAAAAAATAAGATATAATGGACAGAATTTAATGAAGTCAAGCAATGTACAGAATATTTTTTATAATTTTATTTTAAAGACAATGTTAAATTATGCATAGTTTTTCCCCTTGTTTATTTTTTCTAGTTTACTGCTTTGTTCTTTCACTTACTTTATTTATATTTTAGAAATATCTCTTAATCTATTAGTTCCATATAAAAAGTGTGCATATTCAAAGGTTTATTTATTTTTTTAAAGAGAGAGAGAGACAGAGAATTTTTTAATATTTATTTTTTTAATTTTGGTGGACACAACATCTTTATTTTTATGTGGTGCTGAGGATCAAACCCAGCGCCACACGCATGATGCCAGGCGAGTGCGCTACCACTTGAGCCACATCCCCAGCCCCAAAAGATTTATTTTTAAAGTCTTAATTAATTTAATTTAAGACACTAAAAAACTCATATTTTATTAACTATATGAACCCTAATTGAATATAGTATTTTTTCTTTGTAATATTGGACATGAATATCTTGTTTTACCTAGGTTTTTTATACACACATGCATACACACACATTTAAATGAAAATAAAAGATAAATTATTGGTGAATATGCATATTTTAAAAAGATTCTTCACTTTGTAAAAGAGATCTCTAACTGATCCTTTTAAATATGGACATTCCCCAACACATAAAAATGTTTTTTAGTATGTGAAACTAGGTGACACATGTGACTTTTTAGTAATGTATCTATTAGTCAAAAATAAATACTTTACTTACATGTACAAGTTTTATGAAACCTTATTGTTTTTTTTATATGGAGGGCTCACAATTTTTCATTTCCTTCAATGTCTTTTTTAAGTTGTTCCATTATTAATTTAAGAATAAATTGAAGCATGTTTACTAGGAAATTTTTAGTCTGTCAATGTTGTTTTCATATTTCCAGTGTTGAAATTCTGAGAAATATATATATATATATATATATATAATTTCTTTGAAGAAGTAAAAGGGAAGAGAGGTAACTAATAATGACTAAGGATTAACTTTAGGATGTGGGTACCCTTAGCATTTAATAAAAGCTGCAAATAACTTTTCTAAGGTACAGTCTAATTCCCCCTGTCCTTTTTTTTCTCTGTTTTTCTCATTTTAACTAAGTTTTCCACAGTTATGATTTTATTGCTTGAGTAGCTTGTTGCCTATCTAGCATACTTAAACACATGGCCTCCACTTTTTAGCATCATTTGTTAGCACTTCTCCCTGGTTTATAGGTTCTATGGCTTAGTAAGAGTGGAAGCCTAGACAGTCTTTCTCATGTAGTTTTAAAAAATAAATGAAACTGTCTTAGATGCGAGAATAATATTTATTTTAAAGTTAGATTGAACTCATATACCTCTTCTTTCCTTGCACTGAAATTCTGAAACTGTAAGCCTATTATTAAATGACTAAAATGAACATTTTGGGGAGTGGAGGAAAAGTATTCTTTACTGGATGTGTTTAGTCCCTGACCAAGTTAATTTGTTAAACCTAAATCATCACTTTGTTAACAATCTACTGAATTATGCATCCTCGAAATTGATGTTAAAACACTAACCCCAGTACCTCAGGCTGTGACGTTTTTGGACATGGGCCTTTGAAGAGGTGATCAATTTAAGGCTAGTAGGCTGGACCCTAATCCAATCTGATTTGTGTCTTAAGAAGAGGAGATAAGGACAGAGGGATAACTTATGTGAGGAGAAGCAAGATGACAGGCATCTACATTTAGTAAAAGTTGCAAATGAGAGGCCTGGGACAGATCATACCCTTATGTCCCTCAAAGGAAACAGCATCACCAGCACCTTAATTATGAATGTCCAGGCTAGAGAACTGTGAAAAAATAAATTCCTGTTTAAGCCACCCATCCAGACTGGTGTTTTGTTGTGACAGCCCTAGCAAATGAATGCATCAAGTATAACATGAAATCATTTTTTTCTACTTTGTTAGTGGCTCTTAAAAATTATATTCGTGATAGCAGAAAGAGAAGAAATGTCAGAGAATGAGAGTGCATGGGAAAAAATGGTGTCTGTCAATAGGGTAGGCTTGCAAGGAAGCTTGAGGGAATATGTGATAGACTAGGAAAAAATTTTGACTTGATGATGATATGAGTTGAATTGAAATTTACGACTGTTGGAATTTTGGCATGTTTTCTCTTTGTGACTAGATATCATCAATTAACTGCTAATTATGAAAAGTAGAAGACAGTTGAACAAACACTCTGAAGATACAACAATGGTCACTACTTGTGGTTCAAGAGAGCTAAAGGAAGGTAAGCTAGTATTTGAGCAAGTAGTTTTTGTTGTTGTTGCTGTCTTTTGATTTTAGGAAGAGAAATAGCTTTCCTAATTAATATTTTTAAATTCAAAAATTAAATTTTTCTCTATTTTGAAATTGCTCTTAAGAACATTTGTGATTAGAAATATTCTAACACTGTATTGACTGAAAATGTAATATAAAGATGTGACTGATTAAGATCCTTTTAAATCCATAGTCTCTTGACTAGTTATAAAAATACCCAAATTTTGCATGAGACATTTCAGATAAATATATTCAATAATATTTAATATAATATGTACCAATTCTTTATGTAAACTTTACAGTGAAGTAACATTATTTGTGCCAGGAGTGGTAGAGCACATCTATAATCTCAGCAATTTCTGAGGCTAAGGCAGGACAATTGCAAGTTTGAGGCCGGCCTCAGCAACTTAGTGAGACCCACCCCTCCCATAGTGAGTCCTTGTCTCAAAATAAAAAATAAAAAATGCTGGGGATGTAGCTCAGTGGTAAAGCTATCCTGGGGTTCAATCCCAGGACCACTGACCGACCAACCAACCAACCAACAACACTGTGAAGAATTCAGTTTACCTGCATCTACTAAATTAATTTTTGGTGTTCATTTTCAAAAAATACCCATAACTATTTAAAATGTAGCTTTTAAAAACATTGGTATATGCTGACTTTTTTTGTTGAATGAACAACAATTCTTGCAACTATTTTCTGCATTCCCAGCAACCATAATCCTACCCTAATCTTCACCCACAGCATGAAAAAAAAGACCATGGAAGGAGCATGGTGGCAGTAAATCATACAAATGTTACAATTATTCACACTCTCTATTTCCTCAGATCTATAAAGATAATGCTTACAACAGTTGGCCCTGTTGACTCCAGGTGAGTAAACTTAAGAATTTCCTTGAATTCCTCTTTGCACATACTCTTATTTTTCCTTACTTATATGTCTTTAAAAAAATCACACATCTATAAGAGATAAAGAGTTTCTGTGATAGACACTTCATTTCCTAAGTGAACAAAAGCAGTAGAAACTATATAAAAAATACTCCTATATTTGAGTTGTCTCTGGCAGGTGAACATTTAAAAGTACCCCCAATCATTTCTTCTTAGCAATATGTATTTCCAGTTTTCAACAAATGGTTAATCTTTATATATTTTGAAGCATAATAGAAATATTGGGTAAAGAAAATTCCCAATAAGCCTTGCAAAAGGTGATAAACTTAAAATTTGTATTTCTGTCAGATTGAAAAGGGGGCAACTTAATCATTTCTTAAAATGACTAAATTAGGAGTATTATTGCTAAATTATAATTGTGTTGTAGCTGAAGCATAGGATTTAAGAAATAAGTTTGGAGTGAAACTATTTGGATATAAATGAAGTCATTATCATTATCATTTGTTTTTTCTAGGTGTATAATTTTATTTTCACAAATTTTTTATTTCTTCCTTAAATTAGAATGATCTGTTTTATAAGAGCAGTTAAGTAAACTGTCATAGCTACTCATTTGAAGAGAAGTTTGTTAAATGGAAAACAATTTCTTTAACCTTCCTAGACATGAAGACATTTCTAGAGACAAACTTCTACATTGTGAACCTTCAGTTGAAAAGATTCAATTCATATTCTGAATATAGATGGGGAAGAATTTGTAGTCAAAATGTTAAATAGAATAATCATAAGTGTAAGCTGTGTTAGGCATGTATTAAAATATTGAAGTAAAATAAAAATTCTAACATGTCAGCTACAGAGTAAAGGAAAAATCACATGCAATACTTTGTAAATGGGAATTGAATTTTATTTATAACTACTGTCATTGATAAAGCTTTTTTGATTTTTTTGAAATATTACAGTAATACATATTTAGAAAACTTAGGTATGACAGAAAAAAAAAAAAGAAAATACATCACCCATAGTCTTTTCACCCAAACAATCATGTGTTAAACTTTTTGGAATGTTTTGATAATCATCTGCCTTCTTTTTTTCCCCCTTGAAGAGAATTTACAATTTTACATTTTTCTCTTTAAAAACCACAATAAGTTTTGTGCAATTTTCACTGTGCTCCTTGCTATACCTTAAACATACTAAGCATGGCCTGGCTTCAGGACTGTTCCCCTGGAAGACTCTTCCTTTAGTTGTCACTTAGGAAAGCTTCCTCTTCTCACACAGGACCTCAGTGGCTGCTCTGTCCTGCTGTAACTTAATCGAGTTGCTTTTCATTGCTCTCTCCTTTTTACTTTTTAGAATTAACACTCTGATAGCTTGAATTTTTTGTTTCCTGCCACTTTAAAAATCTCTGGTGTATAGTAGGTATTCAGTCTTCTAAGTGCATAATAATAATTAAAAAGTCAGACACTTTCCAAGAGCTTTACATATCCTAACTTCACACAGTCTTGAGAAGGTAGAAATATTTGTATCCTCATTTTAAGATAAGGACATTGATGTGCAACATAGTTAATGACTTGCTAAAGGTTTATGTTAGTAAGTTGAAAGCTGGATAGAAACCCATATACTTGGATTTAAACTTAGCCAGTCTGATACTAGAATTTGTGTCATTAACCAATATACCACCTCAAATCTCTCTCAGGAATGGATGAATATGTCATCCTTATAAACTCCATGTTTAATGGCTCAGAATGAAAATTTTAGTAATATTTGCAACTTATTTGAACTATTCATTTATTTAAATATATTTGTTGAATTCCTTCCTTCTAGTCCTAGGTGATACTGGAAGAAGTAAAGTGGAGGAAACCTCCTGAAAGTTCCTGACATCACAGCAATAAATATTTAATTTACATTATGATTTTTGTCTGTGTTTCTTTTCTTTTTTTTAAATCAGGTATATGTGACAGCAGAATGCATTTTGATTCATTATACACAAATGCAGGCCAACTTTTTATTTCTCTGATTGTACATGATGTAGCATCACACCATATGTGCAGTCATACATGTACCTAGAGTAATAATGTCCATCACAATCCACCATCTTTCCTGCCCCCATGCCTCCTTCCATACCCCCTTTGCCCAATCAAAGTTCCACCATTTTCCCATGCCTCCCCATAATGGATTAGCATACACTTCACATGATATTCTCCAACTCCATCCATTTACCTGCAAATGCCATAATTTTATTCTCTTTATTACACTGAGTAATAGTCCATTGTGTGTATATAGCAAAGTTCTTTATCCATTCATCTATTGCAGGGCATCTAGGTTGATTCCACAGTTTAGCTATTGTGAATTGAGCTGCTACAAACATTGATGTGGCTGCAACTCTGTAGTGTGCTGTTTTTAGGTTCTTTGGGTATTAACTGAGGAGTGGAATACCTGAGTCAAATGGTGGTTCCATTCCCAGTTTTCCAAGGAATCTCCATACTGCTTTCCTGAGTGGTTGCATCAGTTTGCAGTCCCACCAGCAATGTTATGAGTGTGCCTTTCCCCCCACATCCTTGCCAATACTTATTGTTGTTTATATTTTTGATAACTACAATTCTAACTGGAGTGAGATGAAATCTTAGAGTAGTTTTGATTTGCATTTCTCTAATTACTAGAGATGTTGAACATTTTTTTTTATACTGTGTTTCTTATTGGGAAAAGTTTGCCTCCCCCTCCCCCAGGATACATTTGGTAATGTCTGGAGAGATTTTTGTTTGTCAAGACTGGGGAGAAATATTGCTAAACACCTTACAATATATAGGACAGCCCCCCATGATGAGTAATTGGCCCAAAGTGCCATAGTACAGAGACTGAGAACTCTGATTTGGATTCCATATTATATTCTGGGGAGCCAAGATGAAAAAGATTTCCTATATTTTCTGTCCTCAATGAGTTTGCAAATGGTTAGTCTGCTCCAGGTTTTTCAACTATGTAAGTGAATTTTACCTCTGCCAAAAGTGGATAAGAAGGAGTGGTAAACTACCTAGTGTAGGTTAGGAAGGGTGGGGGATAATTTCAAATAAAAAGGAAAAAAAAAATTAACCTAGCCTGAGAGAAGAGTTTCTTTGAGTCTTCCAATCATAACTTGCTCAAATATAACAAAATTTTATAATAGAGACATCAGTACAACACTGAAGAATCAGAGGGAGATATGATTTATGGGCTCACCTTCAGGTTAATATTGGTGAGGTAGAGGAGATTTGAAGAAGGCTGTGAAGACTGGATGCAGTTTTGACATAGGACATCTAATAAAACAATTAGATGGGACAGAAAAAGAATCTTGTGTATTATTTAGTTTGTGTTGACTATCCATTTGGGGAAACTATGTACTCCATTTGTTATAGTGCAGGTATAGTGCAGATACTTGACTTGAGTTTAAATTGTTAGCTTTGTTTCTCCATTATTGTAATACCTCTGTACACAGTTCTTTGTAAATTATCTCAAGTATTTACATTGAATATTGTCAAAAGGTAAATTACTTTTTAGTGTGAATGGCAATATCTAAAATAAAGCATATTTACTTTTCCTTCAGAAGTTTAATAATAGAAAATAACTAATACATATCCAACTTCACATGAATATTCATATTTCCTTTTAACAGCCGTGTAAATAGATTGCTTTTCCCACTCATGTGGACAGCTTGAAGAAATGTACTTTTACATAATTGAAGTCCTCAAACTTTAACTCCCCCTCTTCTCTTAGCCAACTAGAATTATAAATTTGTGCAGATTTAGAACACTTTTGTAGAGGGAGCAGATGGGGTTGGTTAAACCACGTGCCGTGACACAGGTCTGTCAAAGGAAGAAAGGGCAATCTTTTTTTCTCATTTTCAAAGGCATTCTATGAACATGGTGGCGACCCTGTCCAGCTCCATCACACAAATGTACAGAAAATTTTTCTCTTTTTGGTATCTCACTGAAGCCTGCATAGGCTGACACCAGCTTATCTCTGGGTAAG